GTGCGTGCCCCTCCACCCCTGCTGCAGCTGCCAGGAGCCCATGCCCGGGCTGCCCTACAATGCTCTGCACTGCCATGCATTTGGGGGGCCAAGCCCTGTTAGCCCCAGCCTTCCACTGCCTATGGGCAAAGTATACATTGGGAAGGTACAAGTAGCTAGAGAAACTAGGACAGCTCGCAGAAGACATGGGAGTGTTGTACATGGTTACTGCTGGCTAGCAGTAGAAGCTTTCTTTCACTTGGAAAGGTGGAGGCCACACTCACCAGGCAAAATAAGAGGTTCTGCCACTACAGAGTAGCCTCAAGCTTGGGCACATTCTGCTTTGCTGGAAAATCAAGCCAAACTGACTAAAGAGGTGTATAAACTAATGCATATAAATCAAAGTGCAATATTCCCTCCTGTAGGTGCTCTCACATTCAGAACTTGCTCTCACATTCAGAACTACAGAGGCCTTTCATTCTCCAGAGAACTGAACTGCAACCAATTAAGTCAACCTTACTTCTGAATAAGAGCATCCATACAGAGACTTAATGCACTTTGATTTACTTATATCAACTCCACACCTCCAGTTAATTCCTTTTAACTCCCTATGGGACTTACATATCCATTATTCTCCCACAGCATCTTACTTTAACTGATAAGAGAGTAAGCCTCGAGCTTCTTTTAATTCAGAAAGAGACTTCCTGAGTGAAGAATCAGCAGCGTTATTTTGTCTTCATACTATTTCTTGACTAAAATCTAATATGTATGAATTTTTTTTTAAATGGTTTTTAGTCCTATGTATAAAGGAGGTTTTCCATCCCTCCCAATTTCTTAATTTAACTTTTCAAGACCATAGACCAGAGGTGGGCAATTATTTGGGCCCATGGGTCACATTAGTAATTCTGGGGAGCTGCTGCAGGCCAGTCAGCAGCCCCCCAGATTCCCTGCAAAGGTCAGAGCCCATGTGCCCTGTGGCTCCTCCCTGCCACTGTCAATAGTGCCGAGCCCCAGCCTGCCCCGCGGCCGCTCCAGATTTGCCCTGGGTGGAGTAGACTGGCTGGCACGCATGTGTACCGCCCTGAGCCTGACCCACACCTGCTCCAGACCACCCGCCCATACTGAGCAGCAACCCAGCAGAAGCTGCTGCTTGGTACAAGGAGAAAGCGCCCTGCCTCTCCCCCTCGCTGCTGCTGAGCCACAGGGCATCTTAGGCATAGGCTTGTAAGATGGGCTTGGAAGCAGTGAGGGGGAGGGGCTGCTTTCCCCCATGCCAAGCAGCAGCTTCTCCCGGCCACTGTCACTGTTGATGCTCAGAATGGACAGGTGAGTCCTGAACAGGCATGGGGCAGGCTGGGGCTGTGCACATGGGTTCCAGCTGGTCCATTCCACCAGGCCAGGTCCAGAGCAGGTGTGCGGCAGGCCAGGTCAGAGCCATGCACATGGGTCCATGCCCATACCACGGGGCTGGGACCAGTGGTGGCAGCAACCGAGAGGAGCTGCCACCACCTGGGCTGCCTAGAAAGGCAGCCCAGCTATGGAACTTCCCCAGCCCTGCTGTGTACCTAGGGGGCAGCAGGATGCACCACAGGCTGGACAGTACTGCGGGCCATATTTTGCCCATCCCTCCCATAGACAATAATCTCCACACTGTCCTTCCTCCCACCCCAACTCTACGTCAATTATTGCATCTCCCTTCCCCCTGACAATACTGTTAGAATCAATATCCCCTTTGTTTCCTTCTTTGTCCCGTGTTTATGAGCATTGGACCACATTGTCTAGAGTACAGAACAATCTCTCACGTAGCCACACCTTTATCTCTTCCCTCATACAAGCCCCTTCTTTTAGCCATTTTAACAATATTGGTTCCTTCCTGCTCATTGAATTTTATCTGGTCTCCCTCCGACTCCATATTCTTCAAGGGAGGAAAAGTCTTCCTGTTTGTTTTATACAGTATTAAAAACAAGGACAATGGTTAATCATCTCTTATAAAACTTCATTCTTGTTTCATAATCCCCAGTTGGCACAGTTAATTTTTTTAATCTATATCAGAACCAAGTCCTTCAACAAGGATGAGTGCAAGATGCTGTACCTAGGGAGAGGGAATCATCAGCACAACTATAGGTCGGGGGATGACCTTCTCAGCAGCACAGCAGCAGAAAGAGATCTGGGAGTCATTGTCGACTCCACAATGAATACGAGTCGTCAATGTGACGAAACAATTAGCAGAGCTAACCGCACTTTGCCATGCATTAGTAGGTGCATCGTGAACAGGTCCAGGGAGGTGATGCTGCCCCTCTATGCTGCACTGGTCAGGCTGCAGCTAGAGTACTGTGCCCAATTCTGGGCTCCACAATTCAAGAAGGATGTGGGCAACCTTGATGGTCCAGAAGGGGGACACTCTTATGGTTGGATGTCTTCAGGGAAGGCCTTATGAGGAAAGGCTGAGGTGGGGAGAGGGGTGCAGCACAGCCCAGTGGCTGAAAGCAGGCAGTGTCTGCCATTCCTGGGGCTGCAGCAGAAGCAGCATTAGGCTCTTTGGGGTGCTCGGGGTGGGCAGCAGCCCTACTCACCCCACTTCTCCCCACTCACTGCAGGCCCTGCTGCAACAACCCTGGGAGCAGCCGACGCCAGCTGCCTGCAGCCACTGGGCTGAACCATGCCCTGAACCCCCCAGCGCGGTGCAGTCCACCAGCGCAGTACATCCGCTGCAGGCTCCGGCTGGTGGCAGCACCAGGCTCTTCCCACACTCGGGGTGGGCTTCGGTGATTGCGGGGGGGTGCTGCTACCCCAAATTTTGCTGTATCCCCCCACAACCTGCCCTCCCAACACCACTGCCAAGCACTGGGAACAGCCTGGTGCCGCCAGCGGCCCCAGCCTGCTCTCGTCCCACTGCAGGTGGCTACCCACCCCTGCTGCAGCCCTGGGAGTAACAGATGCTGCCTGCTTGCAGCTGCTAGGCTGCACTGTAGCCCAAACCCCCCAGGGCTCCTTGCCCTGAACCCCACAGCTCAGCAGCTGCAAGCAGGCAGCGTCTGCCACTCCCAGGGCTGCAGCAGGGGCAGGCAGACTCCTGCAGCTGGACAAGAGCAGGCTGGGGCCGGTGGCCACTGCAGGCTCAGGCCGGTGGCGACATCAGGCTCTTCCCAGCACTCTGCAGTGGTGCTGGAAGGACAGGTTGCAGGGGGCTACGGTGAATTTTGGGGTGGCAGCAGCCCCCCTCCCATCGCTGTGGCCCACCCCAAGCACCAGGAAGAGCTTGGTGCTGCCGCTGGCCCGGGTCTGCAGTGGCCACTGGCCCCAGCCTGCTCTTGTCCAGCTGCAGGTGGCTGCCCACCCCTACTGGAACCCTGGGAGGGGTGGATGCCACCTGCTTGAAGCTGCTGGGCTGAACCATGCCAGGAGGTTTGGGGCACAGTTCCCCGGGAGAAGCGGAGCCCCAGGGGGTTTGGGGCATGGCCCAGCACAGCTGCAGCAGGGGTGGGCAGCCACTTACAGCCAGACAAGAGCAGGCTGGGCCAGCAGCCACTGCAGACTTGGACTGGCAGCAGCACCAGGCTCTTCAGTGGCAGGGGGCCAGGCCCTCTTCCCCTCTCCTCACCACTCCTCCACTCATAGCCCTTTCCCCTCCCCTCCCAAACTCAGACTTACCTGCTTGGGGAAGGGCAGAGCATGCCTATGCCGATCGCATATATGCAAATTTACCTTGCAAATAACGAATTTCTGGTACAAAAGGGTCAGCGCACAAGAGCAAATTTGCATAAATTGAACCTGCATAAATCAAGGGAAATCTGTACTCAAAAACGATTTGAAAGGAAGTAGTAGCTTAACCTGTCGAAGCAGTGACCTATTGTTTGCACAACAGGAAGACAGGGGTCATTCTAATAGCAGTAAAACTACATAAGTTTTCCTCTAAAAAGAAGCAACACATTCCTTGCTTAACATACACTTATGCATCTGCAAGGCAAAATTCAACAGTATGCACAACTGCACACATTGCTCAATAGGCAAAAGAGGCCTAAGTCGTGGCATTAACTTCAGGTTCCTGATCTCAATCAGGATTTCCTTTTACCGCATGCAGGTTTTGGTGCATGAATATTTATATTCATTTTGAGTGGTTCTGACCTGAAATCATATCCTCTTGTAAAGATACTTCATAATTGGGTTAAAAATATATTAGGTGTTTTGCAAAACAGAAAAGTGCCCAAAAGAGAACCTGCCTTAGATAACTAGGTTACTAAAATATCTTATTAACCCAGCTCCACACCTTTGAGAGTTTTTCCAAAAGTAACATGATGCACTTTAGCTTTCACTTACTGCAGGGTATGTGTGAACACACAGTTAAACCACATTGGTTGTCCTGCGCTAGTCATTGCCCCCCGCTAACGAGCTTTAAATGTGATCATTTGTCCATACCCTTAAATACAAAACAATACTCAACTTGTGTGTGGTTAAAGAACTACTACTACCCTTTGCATATTTCTATTTGTCAAGTATAAAACACAACGTTAAAACTAATTTGATGAAAGCTAAACCAAACAGAAGGTATAGGTTGTAGCTGTGCTGGTCTAAGGACATAGACAGATAAGGTTCTTTGGGTAAATCTGATATCTTTTATTAGACCAATGCAAATAGTTGGAAAAATTCTTCTTTGCAAGCTTTTCGGTATAAATACCCTTCACCAGGCTTGAGGAAGCATCTGCAGTTGGTGTGGGCTCTTCCTGGATGGAATGAATAGTAAGGAAGCCAGAGGCTGGTATGCATGCAAGAAAGCCAGTCAGTAAAGATGTAAAACCAAACAGAACTGGTTTACAGTGTGTTGTCTGTGTAAATTATTCCACAGAGACAATAGTCAAGACAAAAACTCTTGTGGTAGAGGCGATATCTTTTATTAAATCAACTAGATAGAATTTTTTTTTGCAAAAAAAATTGTTTTTTTTTATTTGCAAGCTTTCGGGGCCAAACACCCTTCATTAGGCAAAGGAGAATTCAAAGATTGTAAAATTTCTCCCTGGTAGAAACAAAACTTCATATTGCACAGAAGAACTAAAAGCTGATAAAGTTCTCCTGGGTAAGGAAGTTCATTTGTAAAGAGACTTCTGCAAGTAAGCAAATTAGGCTCAAACAAAGGCTGTAGTCGTTTGTTAACCTCAGGTTCTCCACTGGCATTTAAGTTGCTGAATTTTGCTTCCTTAAGTTGTTCATGTTGCACATGAGAACTAAAAAGGTTCTCCTGGGTGGTAAAGTTCATTTGTAAAAAAGCTGCTCTGTGAGTTTACTTCAAAACGGCTAATTATGATGTGCTCCATTTCAGGGATATGTGTTGTAGTCGTGTTGGTCTAGAGGCTGCAAAAAAAGTGTATCTGCCTATGCCACTAGACCAACACGGTTACAACAAATATCCCTCAAACATCTACAGAGACACCACACTGTGGAACTGAATAGTCCCTTCCTAAAGTTGAGCCTCCTTACTCATGCTAATTACTTGTTACTCCTTGATGGAGACCAGAGATATTACATGGAAGATTATGGTATCCCAGCCAAATTATGTCTACATGGGAGTTCAAGGACATTTATCCTAATGTATATCTTTTACCCCTTTAACATTTATCATAGTACTTGATTATCTCCTGCAGTGTTTCTATTAATGATCTCTTTAAGAAGGACACATTATAAATGTAAAGGAGGTACACAGACAAGTTGATAGCATACATTTCTTACATATAAAAAACATTAAGGAAGTAACTAATCACGGAATACCTATGATGCCAGAACTAACAGCATGGAGAAGGGTCTATATATGAATGCATTGAATATAATTTTCTACCATTTATATTGCAGGTATATCTAGAGTCCCAATCAAGTTTGGGTCCCATTTTAAGTCATGGTACATACATGCAGTAAAATAAAAAAGTCCCTGTTGAAGAAAATATACTCTTAAAATATTGTTTGGATGTTACCACTGAATATCACAGGTGTGTTCTGCAGAAAATCTCTGGCTCATAAGAGCAATTGGCCACTCTATCTTTAGCCTATTTCTACTTCTCCAACATTGGCTTTGCCTTAGAATGCAGGCTTTATGCAGCTTCATTTTATATAAAGGAAAATAATTTGCCCTCCATTGCATATCTGTCTTTTTAATTAGAACCTGAATTCTTCCATATACCATCTTCCCAGAGTCTCACCACCACATGCTCCACATATAGCAAAGGTAGTGGTCATTATACATGCACAACAACATTAGAGGTCACTCTACTGATACCATGAGATAGACTGGAGCCAAATATTATTGAGTAACTATCCAAACTGACTGAGTCTGGATTCTTTTAATTTTAGAGCACCCAAACTGTCATCTCTAATTCTTGCATTAGTTAAGCAATCCGCTGTGCTATAAAACTCTCTTGTTTACAACAGCATATTTCCTAATGCCTATACTATTACACATTTCCTAGCAACTGGCAGTTTGGAGGTGGAGGAGGAAGCATCTGCCATTTAACATGACATTATAATAGCATTCAGTATCTAATCACAAATATACTAAGCAATGGCTCTCACCCCACCAAAGCTCTAATGGACAAATCAGACTCAGCAAGGTGGGACAATGCATGATCAAACTGGAGAATATGCAGACTTAATTTGTTAACCATTTGTAAAAATAATTTCTTAACCTCAGCTCAATAGACAACTTCTTTCTTGATGGCCCATGTTGGCCTTCCTAGGGAAAGGGCTGAATTCCAATAATACTGAAGGCCAGAGATTTGATGGAAAGAGCCTATATTTAAAATGGAATTTACCGCATCAAATAGGAGATCTGCATATCGAATGTCCATCAGTAATTCTGCAGAATTGTTAATCTGATTATTCCCTCCACCCAAACACAGACAGAACCTCTTATGTTAAAATAAGCGATGAATAATTTCCTGATGAGTGGTGGAATTGAGACATCAAAAGTTACAACCAATCACAAAAATGACAAATTCAAGTTTACACTGTTCTATAGGTTAAAAAAAGCTAGAATCACCCATGAAATTGTAAACTTTGATATCACAGCTATAGGAATGGCTTATTGGATGCAACACTTTGCCACAAACCATATAGAACTAATATATCTATACACACACAGATATATAACAGGTGTTACAAATGCAAGGAAGATCTACAGAAATCCATGACAGCAAGGCTGGTATTTATTATAGTATATCCAAGTAGAAAAACAGGTAGGAAGAAGAATATGAAGATCCATCCAGTATCACCTGATGAGTAAAAATAAATGCCAATTGTGAAAACATACTAACTTGCTGTTTGAGAAATTTCCTCAGTTAATGCGGTTTTAATTCTTAAGGAGTTAGATGTTTCAAAGAACTTAATAGATCTGGATTTTTTTAAAACTTGACACCAATTACAAATGATTAAGAAAATTCTGATGGACATTTGCAACTCCTTGCACCGTAAATTTTGCCAGGAAACTGCTTTTTTGTAGCCTCAAGAAGTTTAACTGTCATCATGCCACTGTATACTAGTTATAATGCCTATCACCTCCACCCCTTTACAGGGTTCCATTTTCAAGAGCAACCTTTGAAGACAGTGAAACAAGATCTAGACACAAGTGACCACTACTCTCCTTTTTTTATTTTATTTTTTTAAGAACCTGCAGTAAAATCTTGACCACATAAAATCCAAAGTTTATTGTGCATACTTAATTCATTGGAAAGGAGAAAAAAAATGCATTAAAATTAAAAAAGTGTAGAGACAGATTACTTACAACAGATATTCTTTTATAGAAAACAAAAATCACATCTTAAACAGGAATAAATAGTTTAAGAATGCCTGTTTTGAGTTTTCAGTCCTCAAAAGGTGGCTCTTTAAAAGAAGACTAAGCCAAAGCAGCCATATTTTGGAAAAAAAAATATTAATGCTTCTCAGAAGTCTGAGTGGTTATGCTTTTAAGAGTTTAATGCCATTCACATATTAATTCTTTGAGTGTGTGTGTAGCAAAATTGCTGTAATTAATTTAGACATAACCACATGCAGCATAATAGTTATAGTAAACTGAGTTTACTCTTAAAATAGCTGATTACACACACCATTTGTACAAAGCCTGTTCTGTACAGATCTCTCTGAGTTGTACGAAGAAATGCATTTGTTCCCTTTGAGCACTGCTATTTCCCATATGCAACCATTATGCAAACAGAAAGAATTTGTCCAAAAACATAGTGCTCAGTTCAAAATAATATCCTATCAAGAGTAGAGCACAGCTCCAAACTTAATTAAAAGTCAGCCTTGAGTATTGATTTTTGTCATTACTTCCATGTGGTGAGCACAGGCTTTCCTGAATCTCTTGCTCGATTTCCTTTTATTCCAATGGACTGCCCCGACCGGCTTCTCAAATCACGGTCTGGCCCATCACTTTGTGCCATCTCTTCATCATACCTAAAATGAAATAACTTCTTCAGTGCATCTTAATGCTTCTGTTCACAAGACAGCAAAAGGCATAACAATAACCCTTCCTTTCTTTGTTACTGCTTAATTACTAACTTACATCGGGGTGGGCAAAATACAACCCGCGGGCCGCATCCGGCCTGCGAGGCCATTCTATCTGGCCCACGGGGCCCATAAAAATTTAGAAAATTAATATTTATCTGCCCTTGGTTCTTGTAAAAAATGACAGGAAGCAAGGGCTGTAGGACACAGGGGAAGTCCGGTCGGCTCCCACAACAACAGGGCACACCCGCCCCCTCCCCACCCCCAGCAGGAAGCCCCAGTAGGGGCTTTTGGCCCGGGACCACATGGCTGCCCTGTCCGAAACCTCAGGTAAAGAGGAAAGGGGGGTGGAGGGCAGGGAAGGAGCGCGGGGAAAAGTGGCCCAGGGAAAAGCTGAACGCGGGGGAGGGGAGAAGCGGCCCCTCCCCTGCTCCGTGGTCAGTGCCCCGCATTGCAGCCACTCGAAGCCCACGTGGGACTGCCTGTTCCTGCTCCAGACAGCCCCACATGGGCTAAAAGCACCTACGGCAGGGAGCGCTGGCCACTTTCCCCACCCCCCACACTCAGCTTTTCCCTGGGCTCTTTCCCGGCACAGAGGAAAGCAGTCCCTCTCCTACCCCATGGCCGATGCCTCACGCTGCGGCTGGTCCCCCCTCCCAACCCTGCGCTCAGCTTTTCCCCAGGCTCCTTCTCAGAGCGGGGAAAAGTGGCCCCTCCTGCGCTCCGTGCCCGGAGCCCCACGCTGCAGGCACTTGCAACCTATGTGGGGCTGCCTGCGCCTGCTCCAGACAGCCCCACGCAGACTGCGAGCGCCTGCAGCATGGGGTGCCAAGCACGGGGCGGGCAAGGGGCTGCTTTCCCCCTGCTGCACTCAGCACCACCTTGTAATCCGGCCCCCACTGCCAACCTGGGCCCTGCACCAGCTCCAGCTGCGCCTGTCGGGGCTGTGTGTGGTGACAGCAGCTGTGGCCCCCCCACTTGCCGCTCCGGGCAGTATTTGCCACTGCGTGCGAGCTCTGGGCAGCCAGCAGCAGCCAACACGGCCTGGTACAGCAAGCGAGGGAGCAGCAGCTGCTGCTGCTGATGGATCCGGCCCCCACTGCCAACCTGGGCCCTGCACCAGCTCCAGCTGCGCCTGTCGGGGCTGTGTGTGGTGACAGCAGCTGTGGCCCCCCCACTTGCCGCTCCGGGCAGTATTTGCCACTGCGTGCGAGCTCTGGGCAGCCAGCAGCAGCCAACACGGCCTGGTACAGCAAGCGAGGGAGCAGCAGCTGCTGCTGCTGATGGATGAGCCCAGAGCCAGCTTGGAGCCCAGGCTGGCAGTGGGGCCGGGTTACAAGCTGGTGTTGAAAGCGGGGAAAAGCAGCGCCTCACTCTCCCCGTGGCCGACAACCCATGCTATAGCGGCTTTTTTTTCCCAGGCTGTCGGCTGGCGGGCTCTCCCTCCCACACCA